AAAGAGATATTGAAGAGGAGGTCAAAATATTTTTTTCTCAGAAAACAGCCCAGTGTTTGCTTGTAAACAGGAAAAAATACAGGACAACTGAAGCTCTCATATTCTAGAACATAGATTGTAACCATAATCAATTTTTCAGAGTGCACATTTGTCAATTGCATGGTATGGTTATAAAGCAATTTCTATCATGCAGATATAAGTAACTTTTCTTGTGCACTTTCCTGATGAATGCTTTGGGATAAACCCATTTCCTTAGGTAATTCTAGGAAAGTAAATGAATTTGTCTTCCATATAGGGTGTTTGGATATAATCCAATTACATGTTGCAGGGAACTAAAGCTATGGTGGTTTTAGAAGAGTTCATCAGCCATTCTTTTTAGAGAGTATTTGGATAGCAAATCCAGTAGAAATTAAATCTTTGGTTGTACACCCTCAGGAATATTATTCACTTACCCTCTTAGACTGTCAGACTTTTCATCTGTAAAATAAAAATATTAAATCAGATGTTCTCTAAGGTCTGTTGTATCTCTTACATCATAATACGCTAAAGAAAAAGGCCATTTTCAGGTCTCAATAACTAACCAAACCCAACTTACTGGTTCAGCCTGAAGACTATGCACAATTCCATTGTCAGGTATTTGATGCAACTATTTTCTTTCTATTGTATTTTAGATTACAAAGCTCCTTAACCTAAATTTTCTAGAAAAGGCTAAACAACACCTTGAAAGACTTTCCTTTGAAAATTCTCTGGATTGAGCTAGGCCTCACCACGGAGGAAAAGGACACGCATTGTGCTCACACTTTCAAGTGAGTTCTAATGAGCATAGGATTGTGGCAAGACCATCTTAGGGATATTGTTAGGGTTTTATGTCCCCTTGGAAAAATTCGTAACATTATCTGTTGTTTATGAACATTACCTTCCTTAAACATAGCAACAAAGTAGCCTTGGACCTATTTTACAGACAGAATGTAGAGGACTGCTCACTTAAAAAGTGGCAGAAGTAGGTCTTGTTTATTACCTACCTAGCTTCAAATCTCAACCGCCTAGTTATGTTTAATAGATGCCCAGTGTTTAGTATGTACCCAAATAGTTAGTGGCCCTTTATTCTTCTGTATTGGCAACATTGCTTATGGTAGAAAAAGTGCTACTGTTGACATAAAATGTCTATAAGCTAAAAGTACCTATAAAGTTCATCAAGCCCAGTGGGGATCTTTCTGCCCCACTAGCACCATAGTGAAGGAACAGATAAATCAGTGTTAGCTTAATTGACATGTTGTCACATGGTTGAAGAATTGTGAATCTTTTTTGTTTTCTTGTGAAAATCGTAACCATTTTTTCTTTTTTTTCCCCTTTTTTTAATTGTGAAAATACTGTACAGAGGGGTTACAATTACATGAGCAAGGTAACGAGTACATTTCTTATCAAGCATTGTTGCCTCCTCCTTTGTTTCCCCTTACCATCCCTTCCCATCTCCCCAGAATTGTGGATCTTTCTGTCTCTTTTTCTTCTTTTTCTTTTTCTCTCTCCCTCCCTCCCTTCCTCCCTTCTTTCCTTCTTTCCTTCCTTCCTTCTTTTTTTCCTTTTTTCCTTCCTTCCTTCTTTCCTTCCTCTCTCTCTCTTTCCTTCTTCCTTGCTTCTTTCTTCCTCTCTCTCTCTCTCCTTGTCTTTCTTTCTGTTTGTGTGTATTGGTCCTGGGGCTTGAACTCAGGGCCTCAGCACTGAGTTGAGTTTTGGTTTTGTTTTTGTATTTTGTTTTTTGGATTGTTTTGTTTTGCTAAAGGCTAGTGCTCTACCACTTGATCCACAGCTCTACTTCTGGCTTTTCAGAGAGTTAGTTGGAGATAAGAGTCTCAAGAGCCTCCTGCCCAGGCTGGCTTCAAACTACAATCCTCAGATCTCAGCCTATAGAGTAGCTAGGATTACAGGCATGAGCTCACAGCTTCTGGGAGACCGTTATTTTATTTGTTTTTGGTCATGGGGCTTGAACTCTGGGCCTGAGCGCTGTCCCTCAGCGCTTTAGCTCAAGGCTAGCACTTTACCACTTGAGCTACAGCGCCACTTCCAGTTTTCTGGTGGTTTATTCGAGATAAGAGTTTTACACACTTTCTTGCCCGGGCTGGCTTTGAACGGTGATCCTCAGATCTCAGTCTCCTGAGTAGCTAGGATTACAGGTGTGAGCCACTGGCACCTGGCTGAGACTCATACACATGTTTAAGAACTACTCATTTAAACAAAGCAAAGACATTAAAATTTTTTTCAGTTCAAAACTGACTCACTGATGAAAACAATAAGAGAGGATAATGACAATTTCCAAAATATTACACTAAGCAATTAAGCTGAAATGTATTGCCATTTTACTTACTGTCTTTATCAATTAAAAATCTATTCACTAATGTTTAATTTGATGGTAGAAGTGTTCAGAACAATGAAAATTCAACTCAAAAGATATAGTGCTTTTTCTCTCACAAAGATAATAAATCTAGATCATTTTATGTTTTTTTTCCCTGTGGTAGTTTCCAGTGAGGGGCTTATGTTTACATTAAACAATGGGTGCTATTCCATGGCATCTACCAGGTATTAGTCATTGTGAGAGGTGCTTTACTCATCTTATTCTGGCAACACTGCTGTGGTAGAGATGTTGTCCTCACTCTACATGAGAAAACTAAAACTTAGATTAGACATTCATCTCTTCCTATGCTCTTTGCAAGGCTCCTGAGTCTTTAGAGACAATGCATTTCCTGGCCAGCATCACCCTTTCCATCCTCTTATGTTGATGTTAATGCCCCCAAGTCTGCCAAACACAGGAAGCTAGAAGTGTAAACTGTCCTTTGTGACCCATTCCCCTTTTTCCCTGTAATTCGCAACATAATGCCCACTCTGGCTAACATTAAATTCAATTTTTGCAAACTTAAGCCCTCCCGCCGACAGAAAACTGCTTTTAGAAGGGCAGCCAAAACTCAAGGACCACTGGGATCTTGGCAACAATAATGATCCTCAGAGGAGAAAGAAGAGGAGCCATATAACAGAGTCATAACTCAACTGGATGTGAGAAATGTATCGAGAGCGATACTGAGCATAAAAAGAGGGAACAACTAGCAAAGAGAACAACTGAAAATATGATTAACCAACAGATTTTTGAAGCATGCAATTTTTGTAAATAGCTTCACAGCCACATAGCACCAACAACTATCATGCAAATTATTAAATGCATTGGATTATCTTTTTCCATTAGAATTATCTTGTTTTTAGTGCAACAATGCTACAATACAGAGTTCAATAGAGAACAGTTGTTTGTCACTATTTCTGAGTTGTAAGGACCATTATCTGTATTTCATTAGGTTTGAGAGCATATATCAACCAAAGGGAACATATACTCTAATGCTATATAGATATGTAGGTATAGCTATGTGTGTATGTGGTACACACACACACACTCACACATAAACAGAGGGAAGAAATTTTTTATTTGGTAGTGAATAGATATTAGTACGATCTAGAATCTTACAAAGCTCTTCTAGCCATGTGTCTATATTAGAAGCCCACCTAGTGCAGAGCACTGGTGGCTCATACCTATGATCCTATATACTCAGAAGACTGAGATCTAAAGATTTTAGTTTGAAGCTAACATGGGCAGACAAATTCAAAAGAGTTCTGTCCAATTAACCTGCAAAAGATTGTAACTGGAAGCATGGCTCAAGTGGTAGAGCACCAGCTGTGAGCAACAATGCTGAGAAAGAGCATAATGCTCTGAATTCAAGCCCCAGCACAGCACAAGAAAAAAAAGGAAAAGAAAGAGAAAGAGGAAAGAAGGAAGGAGGGAGGGAGGGAGGGAGGGAGGGAAAGAAGGAAGGAAGGAAGGAAGGAAGGAAAGAGGGAAGGGGAAAAATCTACATAGCTATGATTTAGAGATCTCCTTTCATTTCTAGCCACTTGCTTTATTTAATTGCAGGAACTATAGCTATTAGCAGGGTGACTAGGTAGGGATTCTTTCCCTACCCACTCTGCTCTTTTTCCAGGTTCCTCGTTCCTAAAAGTCTCTTCAACTGAAACCTTGCAACTTTGGGAAATAACTGAAATAAAAATTACAATGATTTGAGTATTTAGTGAGCACCAGAAACTGTACTAAAAGAATGATTTATACTTATTTTCACAATTTGTGAAGCAGGTGCTACTCTCAACTGTGATTTTCAAAACGGGGTGAGAGAATGCTCTTAAATCACATAGACTGGTAGAACAGAGGAGCCTGAGATTGGATCCAGCACTCCTTGATATCAAAAGATTTACTCTCAATTTCTACAGTGGGCTCCTCAACAGGTATGTCATTTAGCCTGGCCAGGGTCTACCATAGCTAGGAGCAGAGAATATCCTTCTGTAACTGAGGTAGAGTTCAACCTTCTCAATGCAGCCACACCAACAACTGAAGCACACAGTCTGATGGCTGATGCCTTGTGAATGCTCTTCCAGGAAATGGATTCCCTTTCCCCTGGTTCCTTTAAGAAACTCTTATAACGCCCACCCTTTTGGTACCAGCGAAGGGTAAACAGGAACCTTCCTAGACTCAGCTTTACTACAGGAAATAAACACCCTTCCTATTCTCTCCAATATACTTAGCTCATCTCAGTAATTTGCCCCAAGTCTTTTGACTCTTAGGAGTCAATCTCTCCTAACATAAAACACCTTTGTGTTCTACAGATGGTGGGTGGCAAGGTGCCCTGGTCAGTGCATCAGAATCTAATCTGTAATATGCTTGCAAATTGGTAGTATAGTCAACCCCAGACTAGAGTTCCAAAGACCATTATTAATCAATCCAGATTAATCCAAGCTCTTTTCACACACCTTTCATCCAATATCAGTGACAAACACGTAGTCATAAATAATAATAGATTGTATTAAATGAGAATTTACCCCATGTTTGATAGTCCTCTACATGAACTATCTTTTGGCCTTCATAGCAGCTCTAGGCAATGGACACAATTATAAGGCTCAAGAGATTGAGGCTTAGAGAAATGATGTGATTCCCAATGTCCCAGAGGTGGGTAAGTGTAGAAGCTGAAGCAGAGCCCAGGCAGTCTGGGTTCAAAGCCAGTGTCTGAATGACTGCTCTATCACCTCAATGGCTCAGGAGATGCTCTCCGAGCACCAGGAACAGTACCCAAGACCAAATTCATGGCTGTGTTACATAGGCAGCTCTGAAGCAAGCAGGTGGGAAGAGGGTTGGATGGAAGCCCTGGAGAATCCCTACACAAAATTTGGGAATAAAGAGTGTGATAGAACCCACAAACTTCTGTTCCTCTGAAAGAGGATGTGTTCAGTGAAAAGAAAGAGTTGGTGGGCCAGCTGTTTGCACTGAGGAACAAGCAAGCTGCTCCGAAGTGTGACCTTGGGCAACTTTCTTGACTACTTAAAGCCCTTGGATATTCACCTCTAAAGTAGGGCTGAAGTGAGAAAATCTGTCTGCAGAACTTTGCTCAGGATCTAGCACCATGTCCCTGCACGTGTCCATTTTGTGATTCTGACCATTATCATTCCACTGTATCACCAACTGAAAAGAGCCAAAACCCACTGCAAAGCCCCTTTCAGCTACCTGTGACATGGCAAGCATGTGGAGGAGATTTTATCCCTAAGCACGGAGATAGCACAGAACCACAGTGACAGAGCCGTTCTCCCAAGCCTATGCTGAGGAATGGGCACAGTGAATGAGCTCAAGTTTCTCCTCTTGTTTCTGCTTTTGTACTTTCTGCTTTTGTACTTTCGCATCCTAGAAACTGCAAAGTAGAGGAGTACCATTGGCAGGAGGAAAAGGGCAACCAACTCAAACAGACCCTGATTAATCAGGCTCGAGAACAGGCCATAATTTACTCTACAATGGTCTCTAATGGGAGTGGGGGTAGGGCAAGAACAGAAGCAGGGGAAACAGATGCCCGTTAAAGTTTCTCATCAAAAACCTAATGAACCATTCTTTATGAATGCTATGGTGTTTTATAATCTAAACTTCTTTTAAATGTCTAGGTCCAGAGCCAGCTCTCTCTCTGGCTCTGGCTCTCTTTGTCTCTGTCTCTGTAAGTCTCTCTGTCTCTCAGTCTCTCTGTCTCTGTCTCTGTCTCTGTTTCTGTCTCTTGCCAAGAGAAGTGTTGCTATCTTTGCCACTGCTGATCTTTGTTATTCTTTGATTGGAAAAAAAAAAAAATAAAGCCAAAATAGATGGGCCTTAAATGTAACACTTGAATTCACCATCTCCTGTTATATATTAGTTGAAGAGGATTTTGGAAAATACACAGAGATATTATATGTAAATCAATATTTTTTTCTTTCTCATTCAAACCATGAATACTGACTAGCTAATTTTCATGGCATTCCCCATCAGTGAGCTTTATTACCTGTTCCAATTCAATTCTTCCTCAGCGTTTTAATCAGCCTAGATGATTTTACTTTATCTCCATGAAATTGTTTTTGCCAGCATCCTACATTTTGTTTAGATTTTCTTGCCATAGCTGGATACAACCTGCACTGGCATTCAGGTGCAATGGAATGGGGCAAGTAAGATGAAGACTGGCACAAGGCCTTGGTATGAGCTAATGTGAATGCTTAGAGGGAAAGGTCAAGGAAGTACAAACCAGCGGGGAAGACCAAGGGAACAGTTAGTGGGTTCATGCAACTACAAAGGCAATAGCATAGATAAAACTTGGGTAACAAATTACAATTAGTGAACTCAACAGATGCAGAAGATTGTCCCTCCAAAATGACTTTGCATACCCCATTTCATCATCTTCATGTAGGTCATGTTGAAGATGACTTTGTCTGTGTGACTTGCTAGCAGGAGTTAATCTGTTTGTGCTGCTGTAACAGAATACTGTACCCAAAACAGGGTACTTTATTAAAACAAACAAAACAATTTATTTAACTTAAATTTCTGAAGGTCCCAAGGCATGGGACCAACATGGGGGGGGGGGGGGTTGTGGATGTTGTTCCAACAGTGAGGCTTTAACTCAGGCCTTGCCCTCTTGCTTAGGTTTTCTGCTCAAGTCTGGGACTCTACTACTTCAGCCACAGCTCTACTTCTCAGCATCAGTTTTTAATGAGAGGCTCAGGGCAGCTACCATTATGCAATGAAAAGAAAGGCAAGAAACCTGGGAAGGTCGGGCTTTTTTTCTTTTTTTTTTTTACAATACTGGGGTTGAATTCATATTCTTGCACTTGCTAAGCCAGAGCTCTATATTCCTGAAAAACCTGACCCATTCTTCCTTACCAGTATTAACCAGTACAGTCATTACCTAACCATCTCTCACTTGACAGCAACTCTTAAAGGTCCTCCAACCTCTCAGCACCATTACATTGAGGACCAAGCTTCTTAGCACATAGACCATCTCCAAATCATAGTAGCAGGCATGATAAGCAGAGGCTTGTCATATATGTACATAGTTAGACTTGCCCTTTGGGTATCTACCGGTACCATGAGATGAGCCTGTGAGAGGAGTATTAGGTCAAATGGGGCAAGAGACAAATGGACCATATCTATGGCTTGGAACAAGCCTGGACAAACTTAGCAAGTTCTTTCTGGCCTCAGAGCCTCCACAAGTGTTGTTTCTTTGACCTAAATTACATTTCCTAATCTGAATGCTTTCTCATGTTTCCAGTCTGAACCCAATTGTCAGTTTCACGGGGGCCCTTCCAAGACTCTCCTCCCATCTAAATTACGCCTGCCCCTACATTAACTCTTCCTTAATGTACTAGGTTATTTTCCTTCATTGAACCACAGTTTGTTTCTATGTCCCATGTTTGTCTCTTCCATCAGATTGCTAGAATGAAGTATACCAAGTTCTCTTCCTGGAGACTCTCACTACTTCAGAGATGACATACAGTTCTTCTCCCAAGTAGCTTTGAATCCAGATGTAGGCTAGAGCCACTTAATTATTTTCTGTCTATGGTTAGAATGGACCTGGGAGATTGAACCATAGTGGATGGCAAAATTTAGTGGCTTGAAAAGATAACTACTTTATTACTTCTCAGAGTTTCTGTGGACCAGGAAATCAGGAGGTTTGAATTGCCATTTCTGGTGCAGGCTGTATCATGAGGTTACAGTCAGGTGATGGATGCCCAGGGCAGGGCGGACCTCTCTCCTTATCATCTCAGGACCATTTCCTATGGTGTCTCTGAACAAGTTTAGATTTGGCCAAGTGATAAGTGTATCAATCACCAGTCTAAGCACAAAAAGACAACTCAGACACATCTGTGTTTTCTCATGGGTATGGCACAGGCTCTTGTCCCTCTTTGTTAACCTCTTCTCCATCTCACCTTGTGTGTAGTATATCTTGGCTTTGTTGTCCATCTCAGAACTTTCTCCAAGCTTGCAGAAGCTCATTCAGCCCCCATACCGCTTCCAGGTTCAACCAGAAAGAGATAGTAAAGCCCCAGGACAACTCTCAATCCAAGGAGAATAAAACCCATTGGACAAATGCCCAAACCTTTTATCCTATGAATAGAAGCTGTCCTTTACGCTTCAGTGGTCCCTACAGACTTTAGTCTGCAGACACTTCATTAACTTTTTCCTTCTTATTTCTTCCTACCTGCTTCCTGAGATTACCTCTTACTTTAAGCTTATTGAGAAAGCTTAAAAAATGAAGTTACTTTTATGGGTGATATAGTGAAATTCACACTAGTAATTGGCTGCTAGGAGCCAGTATAGAAAATAGGAGTAAAGTGAGTTAACATTAATTGTGCCTAACCATCATAGATGCATCCTCACTGTTACTATTATTTTATCCATTCTGATATACTTTGTCTCCCATATTTTAACACTTTTTAAGAAAATAAGATATATCTTTAATTTGAGAATATAACTATATTTGGCAGTATTTTTCTTAGACATATGTGAAGATTATCTTATAAATCTGGCTCAGAGATATATAAACATTGGATATATCTGATAATCATTATTATTTTAATCTTTAGAATTTGCTAGCTCCCACTCAGTTTCTCTGAGTCAAGGGAAAAAAAGGAAAGAATTGTTAGGGTACAAAGACAATATGTGGAATGGAGCTCGTGAAGAGTCCCTTAAAGCCTGATGAACCCAAACATCCCCCAGCCAAGAAGAAAAGTGACAGGAAGGATCCATTGGTCTTCCTAGTAGGTGTTGGGACCCTAAGCTTATAAAGGCAGGATTATTCTTCACTCATCCACAGCATCTAAAAACCTGGTTCCGAGTGGAGCCTGGTGGATGACTGTTGATGGGAACAAAGTGAGGGAGATGCCATCACAGTCAGTTCTCTCTGTCCTGGAAGTACACAAAGGAGTAGAGACCAATGATATAACCAGCATTGGGGGTGCTAATTGAATTAAAGAGGGTGAGCAAGCCTTCTTGTAGCCCCTTGCAAGGGGAGAACCCATTGACTTTGAATACCTAGCAGGCTGCAGGCCCTTCAGGAGATAGATAACTTGTATCCACTTCATCTCTACCTTTTCCTGTGGCTTCCCCCTCCTTTTCCTACCTTCTTGTGGCTTTAAGGGCCCCAGAGCAGGGCTCTGTGTCTTCCTCTTTCTCCTCCTGGAAAGAAACCTTTCGTCCACATGGACCTTTCTGCCTCCTACAGCATTTGATAATCTGCCCTTTACCTCATATCCTTCCCTGAAAACTTAATCTTCCAATTTCTCATCTCTTTAGGTTCAGCCCACTCTCTGGTAGACCAGATGGATGCATCTGGCACTTGGGGTTGTTAATGAGTTATCCTTGTTAAGGACCATTTATCTCGTAATAGCCCTTTCTGTGCACTTAGTTCACAATGACAAACATATGTTAAGCATTCCATAGTGAACTCATAGGGACACTGTGGGCTATTTTGTAATTTTCAAGGGGAACGCAGCGACATCTGTCAGACTGTGCCCAAATTACTACTATTAAGTGATTTGGACTTACTTAATAAACACAACTGGTAGATGACTTAAAAGAGCCAAAAAATTATTGACAATAAATGTCCTGTGAATACAACTTTTATGAACTTATGCTTCAAGCCTAATAAGTAAGTGGAAGTGGCACTTGGAG